TCCCTTTGCCCCACGTTTTGTGTTTTTGTTTCTCTGCTTTCGTTTTGAGATGAAGTCTTGCTTAGTCACTCAGGCTGGAATGCAGTAGCATGATTGTAGATCACTGCAGTCTTGAACTCCTGGGCTCAAGCAAGCCTCCTGCCTCAGCCTCCTGAGAAGCTGGAACTAAAAGTGCATACCACCACACCCAAGTAATTTTAAAGTTTTTTTTGTAGAGACAAGGTCTTGTTATGTTGACCAGGCTGATCTAGAACTACTGGCCTCAAATATCTCTCCTGCTTCAGCTTCCCAAAGTGTAGGGATTATAGGCATGAGCCACTGTTCCTAACTCTCTCTCTCTCTCTCTTTTTTTTTTTTTTTTTTTTTTTTTTTTTGAGTCAGGGTCGTGCTCTGTTGCCCAGGCTAGAATGCAGTGGTACAGTCATGGCTTGCTGTAGCCTCAACCTCCTGGGCTCAAGCAATCTTCCCACCTCAGCCTTCTGAGTATCTAGGACTACAGCCATGCATCACCATACCTGGCTAATTTTTAAAATTTTTTGTAGAGACAGTTTCACTGTGTTGCCCAGGATGATCTTGAACTCCTGGGCTCATGAGATCCTCCTGTCTTGACCTTCCAAATTGCTAAGATTATAGGCATGAGCCACTGCACCCAGCCTGTCTCACATTTTCTGTTTTTAATGTTACAATTTGCAGTTGTAATAGTTTGTATCCTTAACAAAGTATTACAGCTTTAGTTGTTTTTAACCGTTTTGCCTTTTAACTTTTATATTAGAGATATAATTGATTTACCCAGTGTCATTACAGTGTTAGAGTGTTATGAATTTGACAATGCACTTACTTTTACTTCCAGATGTTTTCATATTTTAGTTAGCATTCTCTTCCTTTAGTTTGAAAACTCTCTTTAGCATTTATTGTAAGGCAGTTCTAGTGGTGATAAACTCTCAGGTTTTGGTTGTCTGAGAAAGTCTTTGTCACCTCTTCAGTTTTGAAATACAAGGTTACCAGGTATAGTATTATTGATTGACTTTTTTTTCTTTCAGGATTTTCATATATCACCCCACACTCCCTCTGGCCCATAAGGCTTCTTCTGAAAAATCCACTGATAATCTTATGGTGGTTGCCTTGTATGTAACAATTTGTTATTCCCTTGCTGCTTTCAAAATTATCTTTGTCTTTAATTTGATAATTTGAATATGACATGCCTCAGTGCAGGTCTTTTTGTAATTATCTTATTTTGTGTCCTTTGTTCTTCTTGGATATGGATTTTTTTTTAAATTGTACTTTAAGTTCTGGGGTACCTGTACAGATCTTGCAGGATTGTTGCATAGGTACACACAGGCCATGGTGGTTTGCTGTCTCCATCCCCCCGTCACCTACATCATGCATTTTTCCCAGTGTTATACCTCCCCAACCTCCCTGCCCACAGCTGTCCCTCCCCTAGCCCCTCAGCCCCCAAATAGACCCCAGTGTGTGATGTTCCCCTCCCTGTGTCCATGTGTTCCTATTGTTCAACACCCGTCTATGAGTGAGAACACGCAATGTTTGGTTTTCTGTTCTTGTGTCAGTTTGCTGAGAATGATGGTTTCCAGATTCATCCATGTCCCCACAAAGGACACAAACTCATCAATTTTTATGGCTGCATAGTATTCCATGATGCATATGTGCCACATTTTCTTTGTCCAATCTATCATTGATGGACATTTGGGTTGGTTCCAGGTCTTTGCCATTGTAAACAGTGCCACAATGAACATACATGGGCATGTGTCTTTATAATAGGATGATTCATAATCCTTTGGGTACATATCCAGTAACGGGATTGCTGAGTCAAATGGAATTTCGATTTCTAGATCTTTGCAGAATTGCCACACTGTCTTCCACAATGGTTGAACTAATTTACACTCCCACCAACAGTGTTAAGTGTTCCTATTTCTCCACATCCTCTCCAGCATCTGTTGTCTCCAGATTTTTTAAAGATTGCCATTCTAACTGACATGAAATGGTATCTAATGTGGTTTTGATTTGCATTTCTCTAATGACCAGTGATGATGAGCATTTTTTCATATGTTTGTTGGCCTAATAAATGTCTTCTTTTGAAAAATGTCTGTTTATATCCTTTGCCCACTTTTTGAGGGGATTGTTTGTTTTTTCTTGTAAATCTGTTTTAGTTCTTTGCAGATTCTGGGTAGATTGCAAAACTTTTCTCCCATTCTGTTGGTTGCCAGTTCACTCTAATGATTGTTTCTTTCGCTGTGCAGAAACTCTTAAGTTGAATTAGATTCCATTTGTCTATTTTGGCTTTTGTTGCCATTGCTTTTGGTGTTTTAATCACAAAGTCCTTGCCTATGCCTATGTCCTGAATGATATTGCCTAGGTTTTCTTCTAGAGTTTTTATGGTGTTAGGTCTTCTGTTTAAATCTTTAATCCATCTGGAGTTAATTTTAGTGCAAGGTATCAGAAAGGGGTCTAGTTTCTGCTTTCTGCACATGGCTAGCCAGTTTTCCCAACACCATTTATTAAACAGGGAATCCTTTCCCCATTGCTTGCTTTTGTCAGGTTTGTCAAAGATCAGATGGTTGTAGATGTGTGGCATTGATTCCAAGGCGTCTGTTCTGTTCCATTGGTCTACATCTCTGTTTTGGTGCCATTATCATGTTGTTTTAATTACTGTAGCCTTGCAGTATAGTTAGAAGTCAGGTAGCTTGATGCCTCCAGCTTTGTTCTTTTTGCTTAGGATTGTCTTGGCTATGCGCACTCTCTTTTGGTTCCATATGAAGTTTAAAGTATTTTTTTCCAGTTCTGTGAAGAAGGTCATTGGTAGCTTGATGGGGTTAGCATTGAATCTATAAATTACTTTTGGGCAGTTTGGCCATTTTCAAGATAGTGATTCTTCCTAACCATGAGCATGTAATGTTTTTCCATCTGTTTGTGTCCTCTCTTATTTCCTTGAGCAGTGGTTTGTAGTTCTCCTTGAAGAGGTCCTTTACATCCTTTGTTAGGTGTATTCCTAGGTATTTTATTCTCTTTGTAGCAACTGTGAACGGGAGTTCACTCATGATTTGGCTCTCTGTTTGTGTGTTATTGGTGTATAGGAATGCTTGTGATTTTTGCACATTGATTTTATATCCTGAGACTTTGCTGATGGTGCTTATCAGCTTAAGGAGATTTTGGGCTGAGATGATGGAGCTGGACTTCTAATTTCTTCCCCAAGTGTGGGAAGTTTTCTATCATTGTTTCTTTGGATATGTTTTCTCTCTCATTCTGTCTCTCCTTTCTTTCTGGTACATTGATAGCACATATGTTGTTATGCTTGATGGTGCCCCATAAGTCTGTTAAACTATCCTCATTTTTTGCTCCTCTGCTTATATAATTTCCAGTGACCTGTCTTCAAGTTTATCCATTCTTCCTTTGCCTGATCTTGTCTGCTGTTGAATGCCTCTACTGAATTCTTTTTAGTTTGGTTATAGTATTTTTCAGCTCTGTGATTTCTGTGGTACTTTTTAACACTTTCTATTTCATTGTTAAAGTTCTCAGTTTGGGCAGGAGGATTGCTTGATCCCAGAAGTTCAAGACCAGGCTGAGCAACATGGCAAAACCCCATCTCTACCAAAAATACAAACATTAGCTGGGCACGGTGGCATGCCCTTAGTACCAGCTACTGGGAAGGCTGAGATGGGAAGAAAGTTTGAGCCTGGGAGGTGGAGGTTCCATTAGGCCAATATTGTATCATTTCACTTCAGCCTGGGTGACAGAGCCAGACCCTGCTTAAAATAAAAAACAAAACAAAACAAAAAGCAAAGGAAATTCTCAGTTTGCTCCTGTGTTGCTTTCCTGACATTGGTGAGCATCTTTACAACCATTATTTTTAATTCCTTGTCAGATAAGTCACACATCTTCACTTCATTCTGGTCGGTCTCTGGAGATTTACCTTCCTCCTTTATTTGAAATATATTGCCCTATTTCTTCATTTTCCCTTACTCTCTGTGTTGGTTACTGCATGTTAGATAAGACAATTACCTCTCCCAGTCTTGTCATATTGGCCTCATGCATGAGATTTTTAGGTGCCAGATATTTTATTTACTTATTAAGACAGGGTCTGACTCTGTTGACCAGGCTGGAGTGCAGTGGCTCAATCCTAGCTCATGGCAGCAGCATCGACCTCCTGGGCTCAAGGAATCTTCCCACCTTAGCCTTTCAGTGGGACTACAAGCATGCACCACCACGCCAGGCTAATTTTTTATTCTTTTGTGGAGATTGGGTCTCACTACAGAGATTTTAAAGTGCCTGTCTAATCTTTGTGTTTGTCCAGACTGCTATCTCTGTTTTAGGTGACCCCCCTGGAACTTAGGATGTGCTACTTCCTGTTAGTACCTCAAGACTGGTGAGAAAAGAAGGTAAGAGCTAGACTCTCTAGAGGTAGCTGGGACAATTGGGGTGTTGAATGTATGTTCCAGTTCCTTCTGTCTTTATCGTGAAACTGAGTGTAGACATTTTTTTCTTACTCTCTGCACTAAGATGGATAGAGAATCTGTGGCAAATGCATGTATTCACGTTCAGGTTGTACCTTCTGATTCTGGGAACATAGCTGCTGGAAGTGGGTCCATTGTATGTCTAGCTCTATGTTTTGTGTGGTGTAGGGTCACTCAGATATGCAAAGCCCATTGACTCCCAGATCTAGGTCATTAAAGAGAAGCTATAGGCCGGGAATGGTGGCTCATGCGTATAATCTTTGCACTTCGGGAGACCAAGGTAGGTGGATCACCTGAGGTCAGGAGTTCTAGATCAGCCTGGGTAACATGGTGAAATCCTGTTGCTACTAAAAATACAAACATTAGCTGGGTGTGGTGGTGCGCACCTTATTCCCAGTTACTTGAGAACCTGAGGCAGGAGAATCACTTGAACCCAGTAGGTGGAGGTTGGAGTGAGTTAAGATTGCACCAGTTCACTCCAGCCTGGGCAACACTGGGAGACTCCATCTCAAAAAATAAATAAATAAATAAATAGTGCTCGCTTCGACTGCACATATACTAAAATTGGAATGATACAGAGGTTAGCATGGCCCCTGCGGAAGGATGTCATGCAAGTTCATGAAGTGTTCCATATTTTTACCATTGTAGAAGACAGTCTGGTGATTCCTCAAGGATCTAGAAATAGAAATATCATTTGACCCAGCAATCCCATTACTGGTTGCATACCCAAAGGATTATACATCATTTTATTATAAAGACACATACACACACGTATGTTCATTGCAGCACTGTTTACAATAGCAAAGACTTGGAACCAACCCAAATGCCCATCAATGATAGACTGGACAAAGAGAATGTGGCACATATGCATCATGAAATACTATGCAGCCATAAAAAAGGATGAGTTCATGTCCTTTGCAGGGACATGGATGAATCTAGAAACCATCATTCTCAGCAAACTGACACAAGAACAGAAAACCAAACACCATATGTTCTCACTCATAAATGGGTGTTGAACAATGAGAACACATGGACACAGGGAGGGGATCATCACACACCAGGGCCTGCTGGGAGTTGGGAGAACTGGGGGAGGGATAGTAGGGGGTGTGGGGATTGAGGAGGGATAACATTAGGAGAAATACCCAATGTAGGTGACGGGGGGATGGATGCAGCAGACGGCCATGGCATGTGTATACCTATGTAACAATCCAGCATGATCTGCCCATGTATTCCAGAACTTAAAGTATAATACATACATACATACATACATACATACATACATAAAATAAAGAGAAGCTATAGAAGTTGTGGCACTCGGTGTATGGCAAAACTCCTTCCAGGCAGAATGGATAGGCCTGGATTTATCACTGGGGTGGGCCAGAGAGAAGGCTTAGGAAGTGCCAAGATCTGGCTCTGGCTGATAAGGGCTGTTGTTTGTCCTACTAGTTTCCTGATGCAAGTTCATTAGAAGCCTGGCCATCAAGTAGCCACCAGAGGTGTGTACTGTAAGCCCCTTCCAAAGAGAAAATGGGAGCTGCACATTTCCACCTCTCTTCGGCACTACTCCAACAGGGTGCAGCCCCAGGAAGTGTTTGCACTTCTGTTTAAAACCACCTCTTTGTTCCATGATCTAGGGAGTCTCAGATATGCCTAATCCCTTCTGCTCCCAGAGCTAAGAGGCTCAGGATGGAGTCCTCTGGGAGGCAGCTGTAACAGTTTGGATGCTTGATGCATGGGATAAACCCCTGCCTGGGAGAAACAAGAAGCTGTATTTTTAAAGCCCCTTCTTTGCACTGCTCCTGGGGAATAAAGCCACTGGAAGTTCTTACGTCCCACTTTTTTTCTGTGATCTAAAGGGACATGTGTATGCCAGTGTCCTCTGCCCTTGCCCCCCGGAACTAGAAAGTTTAGGATGCTGTTTTTTGGTTGGAAGCAACACAAGTTGGGATGCTTGATGTGTGGACCAACTCCTTCCAGGAGGGATTAATAGACATGGAGTTATTTCTGGGTAAGCTGGGCAAGAAAGCTCAGGAGGTAGATCTGCTTCTTAGGTAGCCAGGGATGCTTTAATACTTGTGTGTCCCTTTAACTTCCTGATGCAAATTAGTTAGAAGCCAGGCTGCCAAGCAGCCACTGAGGGAGTATGTCATGAACCCCTTCCAGGGAGAAACGAAGGCTGCATTTTTTTTTTCTTTTCTTTCTTTTTTTTTTTTTTTTTTTGAGACAGAGTCTCACTCTGTCACCCAGGCTGGAGTGTGGTAGCCCGATCTCGGCTCACTGCAACCTCCGCCTCCCGAGTTCAAGCGATTCTCCTGCCTCAGTCTTCCGAGTAGCTGGGACTACAGGGGCGCACTACCACGCTCGGCTAATTTTTGTACTTTCAGTAGAGATGGGGTTTCACCACATTGGCCAGGCTGGTCTTGAACTCCTGACCTTGTGATCCTCCCGCCTCGGCCTCCCAAAGTGCTGGGATTACAGGCGTGAGCCACCGCACCTGGCCAAAGTCTGCATTTTTAAAGTCCATTTTCTGCATTGCTCCCAGGGTTTGAAGCCCTTGGAAGTTCTTGAGAATCCATGTAAAACTGCTGCTTTTTCCCTGCAGTCTAGAGAAACTCGCATGTGTTTAATCCCCTGTGCTCCTAGAATCAGTGAATTAAGAACCAAACCATGGAGAACCTCAGAGTTAGGGTGCTAAATGTGAGGGCCAGACCCTCGCCTCCACAGGGAAGAGCTGGGTGTTCCTTTCCCAATTTGATGGTGCAGTGCCCGTAGTGGGGCCCACCCCGAAATGTGCCTCAGTTCTTCCTACCCGTACGATGCAGATATTTTCTCAGTTGCCCAGTGGGTAGGAGTCTCTCAACTGGTCTCCAACTTTCTCCCAGAAGGAATTAACCCATGAATAGATGTTTATTTTGTGTGTCTGTGGGTGGAGGGAGAATCAGGAGCTTCCTATTCTGCCATATTGCTGATGTCACCCAGAATGTTTTTTTCAACATCATGTATTATCTTTCCAACTGTAGGGAGGCAAAACTTTACTTCTGTCCTCTTAGAGTCTCAGGTTAAGAAATGAGGCTAAGGCTGGGTGCAGTGACTCACGCCTGTAATCTCAGCACTTTGGGAGGCCGAGGCGGGAGGGTCACAAGGTTGGGAGTTCAAGACTAGCCTGGCCAACATGGTGAAACCCTGTCTGTACTAAAAATAGGAAAATTAGCTGGGTATGGTAGCACACGCCTATAATCACAGCTACTCGGGAGGCTGAGGCAGGAGAATCATTTGAATCCAGGAGGTAGAGGTTGCAGTGAGCCGAGATCGCATCACTGCACACCAGCCTAGGAGACAGGGTGAGGCTCTGCCTTATTTAAAAAAAAAAGAAAGAAAGAAATGAGGCTAGTGCTTAATATTGACGAAAGCAGAAAGAGTGCCTGCTATGGATGAAATTGCCCCCTAATTCATATGTTTCAGCCCTAACCCCCTGAAAATTCGGTTGTCATAAGACGGATTAACAAAAGAAAAGCATACAGGTTTTATTTTACATGTACCTGGAAGTTCCCATGAGAAAATGAGGACCCAAAGAAGTGGCAGATCCCAAATGCTTATATAGTAGGTTGGACAAGGAGTGGCAATTGTGGGAAAGTAACTAAAATGTATGGGAAGGCAAAATAAGACAAGAATTATTTTAACAATATCTGTTTATATAGATTTTTCTCAGCCTCGACTCCTTGACTCTGATAAGAAGAATGTTTTTTTCTCTCCTGGTACAGAAAAAAAAAGTGTGACCTCAGAGTATCCCATTTATATCTGCTACTTTTCATGTGCCTTCAGCTAAGAATAATTTCTATGCCAAAGTGGCATTTCTTTTTTCAGACAGAGTCTCACTCTATTGCCCAGGCTGGAATACAGTGGCATGATCTTGGATCTCTGCAATCTCTGCCTCCCAGGTTCAAGCAATTCTCCTGCCCCAGCCTCCTGAGTACGTGGGACTGCAGGCTTGTGTCACCATGCCTGGCTAATTTTTGTATTTTTAGTAGAGATGGGATTTTGCCATATTGGCTGGGCTGGTCTTGAACTCCTAACCTCAGGTGATGTGCCTGCCTCAGCCTCGCAAAGGGCTGGGATTACAGGTGTGAGCCACTGTGCCCAGCCCAAAGTGGCATATTTTGAAATGGCATATTCTGTCACCCTTTACAGCTAAATTTTTAATGAAAAAGAACAAAAATATTCTATATAAAGAGCTTAATAAAATTAACAAATATAATTATTGCTGTAAACTTTAGTGTCCAAAGGAGAAATTTAATCTGGCATTTACAAGTCGCCTTCATAATATTCTCATTTTTCTTTTGTATCAGATATCAACAGTCCATTGGTCTGGTTTTAATATGTATACTGTCAATATAACCCTATGCAGGAAACTTGCAGTATTGCCAAAAAAGAAAATAAAACCAATTTATCCAGTGACAGCAAGGCCTGAACAAAATTATGAGTAAGGTTGGGAGTTCGTTAATAATTGATTTGGTCAAATGCAGAGTGAGTTGTCACAAGAATATGAAGAGTGGCCAAGGCCTCTATATTGCATTTTATATAGAATAGCAGGTGAATTCAGGTACTGCATGCTCCCTGGAGGCTGCTTAGCCCAGTACTAGTACAACGCATGCTATATCACAGTGGCACAGCTGTTGCCCTGGCAAACACTCATTCTTTTTTGCCTCTCTCCTATGAACACAGAAGACAACTTCCAAGAAAAGAAGCGGGACTAGTGCCTAACGTTGACAAAAGCAGAAAGAGTGCCTGCTATGGACTAAATTGCCCCCCAATTCATAAGATGAAGCCCTAACCCCAAATGCCACTGTATTTGGAGATAGGGCCTTCAAGAAGATAAAGAAGGTTAAATAGGTCATAACAGCGGGACTCTAATCTTATAGGACTGGTGTCCTTATAAGAAGAGGAACATATCAGGCATAGTGGCTAACACATGTAATCCCAGCACTTTGGGAGGCTGAGGCTGGAGGATTGATTGAATCCATGAGTTCAAGACCAGCATAAGTGACACAGCGACACCTTGTCTCTATAAAAAACAAAAAAATTAGCCAGGTGTAGTGGCATGTGCCTGTAGTCCTAGCTACTCAGGAGGCTGAGACAGAAGGATTGCTTGAGCTCAGGAATTTGAGGCTGCAGTGAGCCACGATTGTGCCACTGTACTGTAGCCTGGATGACAGCGTGAGACCCTGTCTCAAAAAAAAAAGATTCAGGGATGGGGAGAAACACTAGACACTAGAGCTCTCTCCTCATAAGCACAGAGGAAAGGCCATGTGAGGATACAGGGAGCAGTTGGTCATTTGGGAGCCAGAAAGAGGCCTTAGTGGAAACCAACCCTGCAGACACCTTGATCTTGGACTTCCAGACTCCAGAATTGTGAGAATATAAATTTCTGTTGTGTATTTTGTTACAGTAGCCCTAGCAGGCTAGTTGGTGCTCTTGCGTTTTCCTTAAGACCCTCTTTTCATTCAACCAAATTCCCCCACTAGCTTCTTTCAAGGAATTCTGCTCAATATTCCCATCTCATCTCTATCTTTCAATCTCAGTCCTGCTCTCTCTCAATCATTTCTGGTCATTATGTATCACTAGTTTTAATTAAAATAGA